TTTTGGTCAATATCTGGACTTTCCCTCCCTAGGAGATTAGAGCTACCCAAAGGAAGAATGATCTATTTTATAAAGTAATAAAGGCCTATTTCATCTAAGGACCATCTCTCAAGGCCCCCTTTCAACCCAAAAAGTTTCTGGCTACCATGATTCGTGTTTGTCAAGGATAAAGTACCAATGCGGGACACACTGCCATTTGACTACAAGGATACATTCTTTTTAATATTATGAGGTCCCATTACTATTGTTTGAATAGCGCATGTGACTCATGCAACTATTCAAGAGATGCTTTAGAGTCATGTCTTGACCTTTCAGTAGAAGGAAAATGTGAAATTGTCAGTGCAGCATGCCAGATGACATGTTTATAGCACCTTTCCAAAGAGGAGTATATGGATTATTCTGACTACATCAGATAACCATTTTCTATAAAGGCAGTGTGCATTTAAAGGAAACTTAGTGGGACAGTAGCCACCAGGGACCCCATTGTTCTGGAAGGTTATCTCATACAAAATTTTTTCTACTTCCAAATAGGCTATATCCCAAAGGCTGTTCTTTTGTGTGTGTGCTTTTTTATCATCCAGTTTTATTGAGATATAATTGACATACAGTACTGTATAAAGTATACAGAATTATAATTTGACATACATACATCATGAAATGATTACCACAGTAAGCTTAGTGAACATTCATCATCTCATATAGATATAAAATAAAGGAAAAAATTGTTTTCCTTGTGATGAGAATTCTTAGGATTTACTCTCTTTAATATATAACATCTGGCAGTGTTGACTTTCTTACTCATGTTGTACATTACATCCCTAGTGCTTATTTATCCTATAACTGGAAATTTGTATCTTTTGACCACCTTGACCCATCCCCCCTTCCCCCCACTCTGGTAACCATAAATCTGATCTCTTTTTCTCTGTGTTTGTTTGTTGAAGTATGACTGACCTACAGCACCATGTTAGTTCCTGGTACACTGCATAGTGACTTGATATTTCTAGACATTACAAGATGTTCACCACGATAATCTAGTTATGATACGTCACCATATGAAGATACTACACATTATTATTGACTATATTATTTCACCCCCTGACTCCTTCATTTTGTAGCTGGAAGTTTATACCTCTTGATCTCCCTCCTGAAGCCTGTTCTTAAGGATGTTAAGTCTTCAGTCTATTGAATTTTCCAGCGCAGGCGACAGTGTACCTATGACCTCTAACGACCCTCTTGGCTGAGGATGGTGCTGATTCACGTTTGCTATGAAATGTATCTCTGTTGACAAGCCACAGAGGTTTAGAATTGGAAAGTTAGGTAGAAAAAGTTCTGGACAGATTTCAGGCAAGATAAACCAGTGGGAAAGGAAGCAGGGATTAAGGACAAACAGAAATGGAGATTTTGTTCTTTTTCCCTGGCACTTCCTGGCGTGACATTGGTGGACTCCACATCTCTATAAAAGTCCCCTCGGGTGTCTCTTCCACCCCCACATAAGAGGAGAAGGAGGAAAAAATGGTTCCTAAGTCACAAGAGCATTGTATCAAGGCAGAATAAGAGTTCCACCGCAAACCACACACCCAAGGAGGCAATCTACTTCCTGCTCTTTTTCACTCCAAACTGCAAAAAAAAAGCCACCCTGCAGCTGTCTTGCCTTACCCCAGCCAGGATCAGAGTGCCGACAGCTGACACATTGACTGATGTGGATGGATAGGCCCTCTCACTCACTTTTAGGGGAGAAAAGAGTTTACCTTTTAAGCCTTAATGATTTTTGATAATTTCTTCTCAGTTCATCAGCAAGGCACATATATGTCTAAAAACATGATACATCATACATGCTTATAAGATGTAAACTGGAAGTAAGAAACGTCAGGTAAATTACATGAATCGTATTTTTTTTAAGTCTACCTAGTTCTTTCTTTAGACCCCAAACTGTTTGTCAGCCAGTTCTCTTTTAATCTGTGTCTATTCATATAGGCTTTATTTAGTCTAAAGCCAAGTTGAAAAATATATACGGCAGTGTTTACGTTAATATTATGTGAAGAATCTGGTTTTCTCATAGGGACAATTGCTAGGGAATTCAAATTGGTCTCAGATAAAAGAGAAAGAAAACAAAAACAAATTAGTGTTGGAGCTAAAACCTGCCGTTTTTGCTCGCCCCAATTCACTCATCCTGTGTCAGCCATTTTAACAGTAAAGTCAAAGAATCTTTTTATTCAGAGATCTTGGGAAAACCCATCTGCAATATGGCCTAAAGAGATTTTTAACCTTCTAATTTCCTGGGGCTCTCTTATTTAGTCAGTTACATTTTGGGATTCTCACTGGTCATAATCAAAAAAGATGCTGGGAGAAAAGTGGCAAAATGGTGAAGAGCATTAAGGAGTCAGGAGCCCTTGCTGGTTTGTTTCTTTTTTTGTGCAACTGACAAGTTACTTACCTACTGCACCTCAGTTTCCTCATCTGTTAAATTAAAAACAAAACAAAATCCCTGGGGATTTGTAAGGATTAAATAACATAATATATATAAGGCCCCAGCATAGTGCTTGGCACATGGTGCCTGGCATACTCAAAAAGCTGTTATAAAGGAAAAAAAAAGATTTTCCCAAAAGCCAACCACCCCAAAATAAAACACCTCCACTTTATTAGCACAGATACATAGAACTCTATTTCTGAAAGGGATTTCATAGTATCTAGTCTGATGGTTTGCTTTTTTTTTTTTTTTTTTTTTTTTTTTTTACTTAAGCCACGGTGCTTTGAACCAAATATTATGAGGAATCTAACATGTGAAATAAAAGTGGAGCTGGGTCTGGGTGGAGTGGAAAAGTGGACACAGCCCACCATCCCCCTTCCCTTCCCTGGAAGACCCTGAGGCAACTGACACACCTTCCAGAGCAGAGTGAAAACCAAAACTCTTGTCCAACTCCACCTTTTCACCAACAAGGGAATGGCCTAGAAATGTGACGTTGTTTTTCCACTTGTCCAACCAGAGCTATCACCTGCATTCCTATCAGTCTCCGGTACTGCACAACAAGAAAGAACACGTGGGAGTATTTGACCCAACTCTTACAGGTCTAAATATCTAGAGCTTTAGTTCAAGATATGTGAACTTCTTTTCCTATAGCAGATGATAACCTTTGGGTGGCCCATTTCCATTTTCATGTTTATTTTTCAACCGTTTTTCATGCCACTTAAAGCATTTCCTGCGTGGTTCCAGTACCTTCTATCAGCCTTGATGACAAAGAGCAGCTGTGTAGGTTTCCATGAAATTTGACTAGAAACAAATTCACCCTCTCCTGCGCCCTCTACCTTAGCTGCCTGTGGTCTCTTTTGATGCTAAATAAAATGCTATGATTTCTAAACGTTTCACATTCAGGGTACTTTACTTCTACCTCTTGACCAGAGCGTTCTTCAAGCCATATTACTGCAGTACAGAAATGTAAACACGAAGCTGACTCAGTGAAAGTTTGAAGTCAATGTATTTTCTTTCTGAGATAAGGCTATGTTTGTACAAACAACCTCGGACTTTATTTGAAAAGAAAAAAAAACTGCAAGGCAGTTTATGACTGCTGTGCTGTTTCCAAACGTGGCTAGTTTCCTGTTAGGTTATTCATGTGTCCTTATGTTCCTGTGGAAAGCTTAAAGTTATTTTATTTACTTTCAGAAAAGAAGAAAGTTGAGTTGGGGGCTGGGGTATTGCAGGATTCTTTGTTATTATGAGCGTTGACCCAGAGTCCCCTAGCGCTGACCTCTGTTTGCACTGCTTACCCAGGCTTCTCATTACTGTGTTCATGTCCACCTCCTCTGGAGTGGGAACTCCATGAGGGCAGGCCATGTCCTTTAAAGCTCTCTTGAAAGTCTCCCCCATAGCCAACTCATTACCTAGCTCGAGGTTGGCGCTCAAAAAATGTTTTTTGAAAACAGAGATGTTTATGATTATCATTGTTACTCATCTCACATTACTGCAGCTCATTAATAAAAATGACTGAAGGCCAAAAAATACGTTTATTGACTGACCAGGAGACTTCCTAGATGTTAATCAGGCATGTTGAAAACTCCATTTTAAACTCTGGTACTAAAGGAAAATACATAGTGTGATAGTATTCTGCTAGTTTGAAAAAATATATATATAACTGAATGAAAGACAACTATGAGAACAAGCAAAAAGACCCCTTAGAGGAACTACAGCTTTCAGTTTCCAGGCCAACTGAGCTAGACTGGAGACAGAAGGACTTCAGTAACAAATACATGTAAGAATAGTTCATATTTATTGGACACTTACTATATTCCAGGCATAATTCTAAGACCTTTATGCCTCATATCTCATTTAATCCTCACAACAACCCTCTGAGGTTGTCTGTCCCCACTTTACAGATGTGGAAACAGAGGCTTAAATCATTGGCGCATGGTGGTGGTGGGACTGGCCCAGGCAGTGTGGCTCCAGAACCCACTTTACCACTACATGACTGAGTAAATGAAACGCATACAGAAGAAAACAATGCTTTCGTCATCGTAAAACTACAACTGCCCAAAGAGCTCTCATTTCTTCTCAGATGATTTAGCTGAAGACTCTAGGGTCCTATATTTTCTGAGTTTTGGAGAATGGTAGGGAAGACAGATACGAGAAAGCCATCAGAGCGTTAACTGGTTTTCTTCTTGTCCTGCTCTGACAGAATTTTATAAACCACTGGGCTATTTTATTAACAAATTACATTTCATAGGGTGTATTTCTGGACATTTCCCAGATCTTACCCCAATAATTTTCACTACACCAACATGAGGACGTTAAAGGGAAATATTATTCC